AATTCTTAGCCGTATTGAAATTATAATGCCAAATTTGGTTCAATTCAAAAAGTGAAAGCAGTCAGTGCTTTGGAATTAAGCAAATGATTCTTAGGAAATATGCGAGCTCGTCATTTTACTTCTTAAACCTGTGCAGTCTTACCTGCTCGAAGATCCGCTGATTGTATTCAGCGCATGATGTGGTGAGCTTTCCGTATCCGATGTTCCACCACTTTTCTTCTTTTTCGAAAATGCCTTGGTTAGCGAGGAGCGGATCTAAAGAGACATCTTTTTGTCTTTAAAAAAGTATTGCTATATCACAATCGCTATACGAACAGTACACCACAATACGCATCACGATGATCATTTACCTGTACATCTACTCCATTCGTCTGAAGAGGATAGAATTAAAATTGATAGATAGAGAGAAAATGATTTTTAAATCTACTATTACTCTGGTAACGGCCAAGCTGTTTCAAATTTTTGACCTTTTAAACTCGAATACTTTTTTTTCGAAAAATTCTTAATTTTTGGTTTTTTTTAGAACAATCCACGCACCCAGCTTTTCTTTGTTTTTCCAAAGCTATTCAAACTGCTCTTATCCGTTCGACTAGATTTGCTAGATGACGACATTGAAGACCGATGACTGGCCAGTGAAGCCACAGATTCTAAGGATGGCTGTCTAAGCAATTCTCCAGCTCCTTCCTGGAAATTAAAGATTTATAAAAAAGTAGCAAATCTTCCGCGGGCAAGAAAATATCCACACTGACAATGCTTTTCTTCGCGTCTCCACCTTGAGCAAGTCGTCCACTGACAAGTCGTAGTTGATCAATTTCTTGGCGAAGTTTATTCAGGTCGTCGGGCTAAAAAATTTCGTATTATCAGTGTTCGTGGCATAATGTGAGTCATAAGCAAATAACTAGTGAAGAGTAGCTGCTGACCACCCCAAGCTAATCTACTAGACGGGCACTACTAATACCAACAGCAGAATGGACATATGGAGCTTTGTCATTCAAGATTCCTGAGATAAGCTGGCGGACCCTTTGGGAAGAGGATCTGTCAGCATTAGTTAGGGCAAGTAGATGTATATATGCTTAATAAGTTTATTTCTGAAAGAAATTTTGTTTAAATTTTATTTGAAGAGTAGCGCAAACTTATAGTGACAGATAAGTGCTAATACAAATATAATTTAAAGTACGGCCCTAATTTCTCGGTTTCTTTAATAGAAAGCATGTCTCCAATAACTTGTTCTTTTGTTTTTCCTTCAAAAGAAATCGATTTTCCGAAAAATCATTTCTAACAATACGAGATATGGGTTCCA